GCCCCAGCCACAAAACTCTGCAGTTGGCTGGTTCTTAGATCTGGGCCAACAGGAGGACCGATGGGGAGAGCTGCAGTTGTTCTTCCAGGGCTCACACAAATTACATATCAAATAGTATTTGTTGATGTACATCAAGTCTTTTGTAGCAGCTCAAGTATTGGCATATGTAAGGAGCAAGCAAGGCTCCTCAAGAGAGACAGTCATGAAAAGACAGAGAGATGTAATTTACCCTGAGAGTTGTTAAACTTTGTTGTCAAACTCCTGGTCTGGCGTACACATGCAAACACAAGTGGTTACAACCCTCTGAAGTAAAGCAAACGAAGACAATGTTAAGCAGCTGAGAGCCTCGGCCAGGCAGGGTTTGGTGTTTTTTTTTTTGTTTTTTTTTTCTCCCTCTAAAGTCTGCTTATGAGAATTGCTTTTGAATATTTATGTTTGGATTGCTTATTTGGAAGAAGTCACAGCTGCAGCTGCTCCTGCTGGAGTGATAAACAGTCTGTGCTGCTGTCTCTTAGAGACCTTAAGTTCCCACTCTAAAAGACAGACTTTTTTTTTTAAAAAAATAAGGCTTGATTTGCCACACTGATTCAAAATGGGTATAATTTCAGAGAGCAATAGGATTTATTGTAATAATAAATAATAATAATAATAATACCAGTGTAAGAAAATGCATGACCAGAACCAAAAGGAACGAAGACGGGATGATGGAAAAGGGGCTTTTGCCTGTTACGGTGACAGCCACTGTGGGAGGACCCAGAACTGGCTGCTGAGAAAAGACCAGCTCTGCACAGGTAATACCTCAGTCTTCATGTCATGATTGAAAAGAACAGAAATGCCACATTTGGGTGAGCTATTATTGAGGGCCACCACTTCCCATTCGGCTGCCAGAGCTGGAAGCATCGGGAAGATGTATGTATGCTGGTGGGGTGGCTGAAGTTAACAATGCACGTACAGAAAGTTTTCACAGGTTCTGATTTTTAATGCTATATTACCCTTAAATCAACATACAATTGATAATTGGCTGGACAGAAATAACAAAGTTTACATTTCAGAAACAAAACTAGTCCCCATGCACCAGTAGCCCTGGAGTCCCAGAGCCCTCTGGAGCATTTTGAAACTTCTTTTATGCAAAAATAATTCCCTTTTCTACTGAACAGGAACATATAAATGTTTCATCTCAATGTTTCTTCAAGAAGAAAGCTATTTCGACAATGCCACATTTGTGCTATCAACATGACACCATGAAAGCCTTAAATAAAATGCATTTCTATTGCCGTTTATTATTTGGGAAATGCACTTCATCCAGAAAAGCTAACATGCACAGTGCATCCACTGCAGCAGAAGTAAAAAATAATTCCCCATAAATAGGTGTTTAAAGAAGAGCAGAGATTTTCCTCAGATGACAGTATTGCTATACCATATTCTAAGAAAATTTTCCAGATCAAAAATCATGGCAGCTCAATATTTTGTCCTGAAGATACAAATAAAGAAATCACTAAGTTTTCTTGAAATGTCTTCATTGCTGTTAATTGTTCCTTGGCAACAGCAGATTCAAAAGGTGTTTAATTTTTTTTTTGTTATTAACATATAATATTCCTTAAAATTCCTCTTAAACATCTAATTTATCACATGCCTACCACAAAAGCCTTCTTTTTATTGGCTTCACTACAAATTCCACATCTATTTGACGTTTCAGAAGGAGGGGATTCTACTCTTGAGCAGAAATTTTTAACGTCAGTATTAAAGGATGTCTATGAAAGCACAAAACAAAGGCAAGTACTTTAAAATCTAGGCTAATAGGCTCTTCACATCCAGGAAAACCTCCCTGACTTTTTTTTTTTTTACTAAACAGAATTTACTGATGTGCCTGGAGTTCATATACCACAACACGGGCTGGCAGCGCAGAATAGCAATAGAATCCATTAAATCCACATAGTTACCGGAAACGTTACATAGTGATTGTGGTGAGGATTTTCTGTGAGATAAATTCCAGTTTTTCAAATGAGATTCTGAAAAATCACCCACTAACATTTCTGCAGAAATGCTTTACAGCTTGTCCAAATTGTAGAGGACAGCTCATCTTCACCCACAAAAGATTCCAGAGCTTGTAACTTACTGAGTTACTACTTGTTCTAACGACTGTTCGAGGGAACGGTTTGGCATCAGTAAGAGGAGATTAGTTTGTGTATTAATGCAATTCAAAAGTTCACTCAATTTACACAAAATAATGAAAAGCTTAATTTGAGCTCTCAACAATTCCACTTGCCCCTCATCTCAAGTTCATAACACGGATTTCATCAAGTCTTTGAGAGGTTGCTTCAGAGTGGCAAAAAAAACCCCAAACAAACAAAACTCAAGCAGATGAGAGAAAACACATTCCCAACTCTCATCAAGGCTTCACTAATTACAACCGCACGTCCCATATGTGGAGGTGTAACATACCGTCACACGACTGTGAAGGGGCTGCCTACGCTCCCCGTTACAAGAGCTCTTCTCTTGAGAAACACGGAGGAACCTCCACTCAAACACCTCCTTGGAGAGGGCAGGAGACCATGAGAGGGACAGGGAGACCGGCGAGCAGACAGCAAGGACACAGCTGGATGGCAAGATCTGGCCATCTGCAACATCCGATGACTGGTCCTCAGTTTGGAGGAGGAGGGACCAAAGAAGAAAAATGAAAACGAAGCATGTCACAACAACAAAATCTTAACTCAAAGCCCTCATTTGTGCAAATGTCCCTGCTATGGACTTGTCTGAATTAGCAAAGACTGCACACGTGCTCTTGAGATCAGCTCTTCCAGCATAAAGCAACACCCGATAGTAAATTGATGTCTCAAGGCAGCAGGGTTTCCAAAAGTGGCCATGAGGATCATTTTTTGTCAACTCTGAAGAATTAGCTAGTCACTTGATGCTCACCCTGTCATTGCTTTAGTTGCCTAAAACCACTCAAATATTCCTAAACTGCCTTTTCAATTAAGAAATCTACATTTGCTGAATTGCAAATTTAACCTCCAGCTGCAGAGGAGTTCCCCAAAAAGGAGACAACTCAGAAGGTGGAAACCTAGGGAGGTCTTGCTTGCTGAGGCAAAAAAGCACGAGGCACTAACAGAAGTCTGTTTAAGGGGAGGAAAAATAAACGGCCCTTGTTTAAACCCTCCTCTTGCCTCAAAATGAAGAAGTTCAGAAATTCAAAATTGATTAAAGAAAACCCAAACACAATACAAAACTAGCCCCTCTTCCTCCAGAAGGCAGCAGATTTTTCAAATGGCAAAATAAATCAGCTATTAAAAAAAAAAAAAAGCAGCAGTATTGAAATATATTGTTCGTAAGCATTCATTTGTGATGTTGAAAATTCTCCAAGACTTCTCAGCACGTGGAGGCTGTGCCGTGGGCTCACGCACACGTGCAATAAAATAATACCAAATTTTAGCCCTTTGTTACGGTGGCTTGTCAGGTCACTGCTCTGTTAACAGGAACTGACCCAGACACCATCTGTCACAGGAGCCTTTTTTCAAACTACAGTGAATCCCATGGGATTTAATATGCAGAACGTGTCACGCTTCCAAACCAGCTGACTGAGTTTCATGTATAAAATGATGTTCATATTTAGATACTTTCAGTAACTCCTCAAAAAGGATCCCAAACATTACTTGAGAAAAAAAGATGAGAGTATAAGTATAATTTTAAATAGGTAACACAACTCTTCCTTCAGCTGCTCCACACACACAGAAGAACTAAGGATCTCTAAGCATGGATGTAGATTTTTTTAAATGTCAGATTTATTTCCTTTTTGATTCTGAAGAGCTGTTCTGCTCTACAAATTAACTGACAAAATAAGCTTTACTTTGGTTTGATTTTCACATTGTATTTGCTTAAAAAAATTGATTTTCTCATGATAAGCCCTACAAATTGAAACTCAAATTAGATTTTCTCTTCTTGTATACTACCATTTCATAATTAAATCTGCAAATCTTGGGAGTTTTATTACTTCTGCCACCACTAGCTCTTCCTGCTATAGTACAGAAATTATACGTCACACATATAAACCTACAGACGCCGAATCATAGAAATAAAAGCACTGGGAGGACATAAAAGCTGCCATTTGAGTTTATAGTCCCCAGCAGGAACTCCAGTCAAGCAGTGTCCTGCCCATGAGCCTGAAAGGAATTTTTCCATGACTTTCACATCAGGCTCAGCAAGAATATCTTAAACATGGCAGGACAAAGGGGGAAACTGCCAACTCCACTGCAAGATCAAATCTAGAGCTCCTTAAAATAATACTTATTTTAATTATCTTTATGCTAACAAAAAAACCCCAACGTTTTTAAGTAGCAAATTTACATTATTTTTTTTTTTATACCAAGACTTCCCTTTATCAGTTTAGTTTTAGTACAGATGATCCTCCCTAACAGAGTATTTACAGACAAGGAAAAATAGTTAAACATCAGGATATTTATTTTGTATACAATTATTTACAGAAAAATACTTAAAAAATTAAGTAGTCAAAGTTTAATTGACTTCAAAAAAGCTCCATGCTTTTATGTTATAAAAACATATTGCCTTTACTGTGCTCAAATTTAGAATTCAGATCTCTGGATTTTCTTATAAGAGCTTTCTTTTGTGCTTCGTCAAATCGATTGACTTTGAGATCCTGGTCTCGGTCAAATGGCCTTCTTTCTTGAGGTTTGCTCTTTTCTTCAGATGCTTTGCTCTTTAACTTTTTCTGATGTATGTCCATGAGAGATTCTGACCTCTTTGACTCCTGGAAAAACAGGTAGAAGGAAGAGGAAATAAAGTATTACAAAGTATCAACAAAGTACAGAAAATCCAAATGGAAAGATTGTAATTAGGAAGGCTAAAAATTCCAGAAGATTGCAGCTTAGTAACTGGAAAACAGAATGATAAATTTGGCATACACAGAGGTGAAAGCATGTGTAATCTTGTCTACGCTGACTAAAACACTAATAATTCAACAGCATTAAAGACACCTATAATGTTGCTGAATCTCTGCAGACAGTGGAGATAAGTTATAAAAATAATGCAAAAGAAACATAAAAGTTGCTCTGCTGTTACTAGCAGAGACAAATGAAGACAATACGTCAAGAGAAACATCTCAAAGTACAGGCCCAGTTTCTTACACGCTTCTCCTAAGCATCTGGTTTTGGTCACTGCTGGGGCAGGAACACACTCGACACCCTTTCAATCTTACTTTCATGCACTACTGTGATTTTAAAGTGTGCTCTTAGCTTTTCAGTATTTGAATCATCTGTTGCAAGTCCACAGGACAGTCACAGGTCTGAGCTAGAGCCTTTGTTTCACCAAGTCAAGGACTCCAGTTGCATTTATTAAAGAGCATGATCCAGCCCAAATACAACACAGAACTTTTGCTGATTTCACACAGGAGCAAGATTAGTTCTCACAAGACTATGTGGACCCTCCTTTACTCAGGTAAAATGTATTTGTGTGTCCCTAAGTAGTCAATTCCTCAGTTTCTCAAATCATTGCAAACCAGCCAAAAGACCAGTCCAAACCAATTCTCTCATCAGAAAGAGCAAAAGACAAGCAGCTCTGTTTTCTCATGTCTAGGAACACGAGATCTTTATTCCGAGGGTTCAATTCCCTTCACTCCCTGTGCAAACACTTACTTCATCACACATACAAATAATAATTCATACATGACATAAGAAATGATTCTCATGGAGACAGAAAGTAGACAATATTTATTCATGGTGTAACTGCGTCAATGTTGACAGAATTGCACCAGAGAACGTATATGGCATCAGCACTGAAAGAATTAACTGTAGGAAGCTATTTTAAGAATTAAGCTCCTGTTCTATGAAAATATCCTTGATAAAGCTCAGTAGAGAAAGAAATAGGAAAGAATAGAGGAAAAAACTTTAAAAGAAAAAAAAGCAACCACCTGAATATCAGAAAAGAGCTGATTTAAAAATAAAAAAAAAACCAGGAAACATCTCAAACACCTTCGATGTTTTTTTTTTTTGAGAGAGCTCTGTTAACCTTCAAAACACTGAAGGCCTATATATGTTTTATTCTGGTAATAGTACAGAGCAAATCCCATAGTTTTACATCAAAATTATTCTACTATATTCATAGTGACAGTAGAAACAGATAATACAGAAGAAATTTAAGACAGTATGCTAATAGCTCTGGATTTGCAAGCCTCTAGGTTAAGAGGGACGTGATTTAATGAACTACAAATAAATTATTAAAACTGTCAGATAAACTTCAATCATGTAATATAAGCCAAGGCTGCGATTCACAAGTTAATTATACTCTCAAGAGATCAGATTGCCTTCCATAAGAGTTCAGGCCATAAATCAGGGAGGAACTGGAACGAACAGCTGTAAGGGAGGCAACAGTCAACAGCGCTGGCTGACAGAAAAGCGAGAGCAAATTTGACATGGAGTTCAGATTTCTAGTGATCAACATCTGTCTGTGAAAATTATCTTTTTCTGCAGAGATTGAGGAAAGCTTCATGTAATAACGCTGTTGTAATGAGCAGTTAATGTAATTAATTACATAGTGTAATTAATGCATCGATCTGCTTAGCCCATCAAGCTTCTTTCGGGTTAACGCGTATTTAGTCCTAAAAGTTAAACCTTTACTACTGTTTATTCTTGGGATGCTGGTAATTTGGAGAGGCAAGCTAATATTTGAATTAAGGTTGCCTACTCCCAGCAACCATGTTCTGACATGAGGGTGATTTAAAGAAAACACTACCTAAAACTGAGACAACATACACAAACCCCAGTTCTAACACACTGTTTTCAGCAGCGCCTTGAGGACCCAATCCTGCTCTTGTTGAGGTCAACAGCAAATGTTCTAATGACTTAAACAGCAGTAGGTTTGGGTGCTGAAAGGGAAGAATGTAGTGGCATCACCATGGAAACCAGCAGCACTAGAAATGAGAACCAGAAGAAAAGAGTGAAGAATTAAAGGAAATGCAGGAAGAAGAAGTATTTTGCTATTACACTTACATTGTATGAAGTCACCTGCTCAACAAGTCTCTTGTCCCTCCCAGATAATACAATTTCTTCATTATCCTTACTGGTTGACTTTTTTGCCTCTTCTCTTTCCTGATGAGTAGAAGCAAATCACACACTATAGTAATCAGAATGTCTGAAGTAAAAAGCAAGGAAATCTATATTTACTTTAATTAAATCTGAAGAGTAGAAGCCACAATAGAGGCCACCAGGTATTTTTTTGCCCAGCTTGATAAAAGAAGAAACTGGACATACTGTCCAACTGGAAATTCAATGAGCTGATACAGAGTACCTGACTACTGCAGAAGGGAGAGAGAATAAATGAATATCAATGTTACTTAAAATCGTTATTTCCTTGTCTTTACCTTTAAGCCTGAACTAGTAAGTTTTGGTAAGAAATTAAAATCTGGAAAAAAAATTTCATCAAACAGTTCAGCGTATCTTTACTTTGTTTTTACAGAATATCAACAACATATATATATATATATATATGTATGAATGAATAAATGCTCACCTTGGCTTTTCTCTCTCTGTCAGCTGGAGTATCTGTCCAAATAGATCTATCACCTGATTTGTCATCAGCTCTTCTCTTGAATGTTCTTGGGCCAAATCCAAAGCTCTTCAACTCAGGTGGAAGCTCTGTCATCCATGACTCCCTGGTAACTTGCTTAGGTTCATCCTTTACAAAAGAAATATCGGAGCGGGAGTGGGGGATGAAGAGTAAAAAAAAGCAGATAACCAAAAATTAAACATCTGAATCTCTTAGCTTCCAGCAAAAATCATGGATTTTAATTTGTCTTAACAATTGCAAACACTTAGCATCCTGAACAGAACTGCAACTGGGTTCACACAGAAATAGGCAAAGAAAAAAAACAAATACACTCAAGCAACAACATTAGAAATTAAGAAATCGAACTTACGCTGCCTGATGAAGTAAGTTTTTCCTTCATTCTCTGAGCTCTGCGTTCAAATTCTTTAGTCACATCAGACTCCACTGGTCCTTTTGCAGGCATTGGGCCTATAAGATTGTCTTCTTCCTCACTGCTATCTGTTACCTTCCGAAAAGAAAATATTTTTCTCAACCATACTGCTAAGATCATCAAGAAACACTTTAGCTTCATAGGGTAAGAATGATTTTGTCTAGAAGAGCATATAAACCTAATGCAACGCATCTGCCAGTCAGCCAACGAAAACCGGGACTACAACTCCAGATTAGACCTGTTGTAGCACTTCAGCATGGATACTTAGTCTCCATGTTTCCAAAAGCATCATCTCTTGTCTGAGGCAAAACTGCTGGTAAACACAGTGGCAATATACAAAGTCTGGCTACTTTACATTGCTCTGCATACAGCTGTTTAGCCTCTGGGGCCATACACAAATTTGAAACACACAAGCATACATCTTTGATGCTTTGGGCTTTACCATCACCAGCAACATTTGGATGCATCTCTATAATAAGGGTCGCAATTTTGCACCGCAGGGAGAACTGTCTCGAGCTCAGATTCTGCAAGGATGCTAGAAAGATTAAAATGCAAGCTGGGGTACAGTGGCACGCATGGTACTACACCCTTGCGTGTATAGTATCTGCCAGTCTAATCTCTTGGTTCTGTCATTCAGCTCTTCTATCCATTTTGATATTGCATTTAAGCAATTATTTGGAGAACTGCTCAAAAACCTAAGTTTGAAAGGGACTAGATGTAATAAGAACCTTTGTGGATGCGAGGGGTGGTGCAGAAAGCTCACAGGTCCCTCCAAGTTGAAACAGTAAGGATGTGGACAGAGGCAGGACTGGACAGAAAATGGTCACACCACACTGCCCTGGCCGCAAAGCTAAGGTGCCCAATATCTGCGAAAGTGAAAAAGAATGTGGGTGATAAAGCAATGGGAGTAGGATGACCACTAGGCTGTATGCTCAGGGAGCATTACAGAGCATTACCTGAAAAAACAAGTTGGTGGCAAAGAAGTTCCAAATGAAGGATGAAGAAGGTGGGGGGAGAAATAGCTTGGTTTTGTCATGTCAAACTTTGGTTACCAGGTGGACATCTTAGAACCAAGATATGACACCATCCCAAGGGGGATGAGCAGTGGAAAAACAGTATCAGGAGCCATCTGTGTAAAATAAGGTGCCCAAGGCAGAGGTGACCCAGTGGAGAATACAAGAACAGAGTACAGAACCTCACTACAAGAGTCACCGAATGGGAGCATGGGGGATGGAGGATGAATGAAAAGAGGAAGAGAGCAGGAAAGGTATCCTGCTACACTGAATTCAAGCCTAATACTTCAGGCTGCTCATAGCTGGCATCCCACTGCTGTAGAAGGATTTGGGCTAAGGAAGACAGCAGGTGTAAAATAAGCCACTTTACTCCTATGGGTGCCATTTGCTACAGAAACTGGCGTGCTTTAATGAGACTGCTCCAAGGTAGCCAAGCCAGTTGGCCCTGTCTACCTTTAGGAGGGAGAAAAGTTATGAACAGCGGGGAAGGCAAGCTTCAGGTAGCAAGAGAGACAGCTATGTATGGCTGTGAACCACAGGGTGTAAGAAGAGGCTTAGCAACCTCAATGGCTGCATGATCAGTTGCATGAAACCGATGTGAAAGACTAAGAAGGGTGAGAAATAACTGGTCATTTATAAACATAAACACTGCCAGCATGTAACACCAATTTATCTTATCATTTTTCTCAAATATTTACATAGTTAAGCTTTCACCAATTATCTGCCAGCTTTAGAAAAAGGGGTGACTGCATTCTCTCTCTCTCTTTTTTTAAAGGAAGAGCTGGCAGGGAAGAGAAATAACCATCTTCAGAAACGAGGTGTTTCTCTGTTCACAAACAAATAAAAAATCCAAAGATATAAGACTTTCATAATAAATTGTAAAGTAGTTGAGGATGAAAGACAAATTCCATGCTGAGTTTTAATTGAAGAAGCATGTCTCATTTCCTTTCTCATTAGTCTTAAGTTCAATCCACTCCATTACCACCTGCCTCAAACAAGATGAAATTAAACAAGCATTAAAAAAATACTGCCTTCAAATTTGAAGGGGAAATCAATAAAAAGTGAAGAAACAGCATGGAATAAGCTGCCTCTAAGTATGTACTAGAATACAAAATAATTAAATAAATTAAAACAAAATAAACAGGAAAAAATTACTCTTCATATTCAAAGGTTAAAAAAAGAGTATTATTAGGCAGAGAAAAAAATTAAAATAAGCCAAGTTCTACAATAGCTGTAACAAAGCTGATGCTAAAAGATCTGTTTAAGAGAAAAGATACTACTTTGTTTGTAAAATGTATAAGCTGACCAGTTTTGACATCCCTGCCTCAAGAGATTTGTCATTATGATAAATTGCTTAATCGTTATTTGGAGTTATAAGATGATGAGTATCTTAAAAATGTCAGACAATCATTCTTCATGAAGAATTATGACAACACTCACTGTAGGAGGCTGGAGAATGATGTACTTCCCAACTACCAATCAAAAAAGTGAAGTTCCAGAGCAGCCTTTGCCTCATGCCTTCCTAGCATGTCTCATAGTGTCTAAGACTTAAACTTAAAAATGTGAGTATTTTAGAAATAAACAGAATAACTGTGGAAACAAAAGTTACTTCTCACAAGGAGTGAATATTTAGTTTCTCACAGCATGAGAGAGATTCAATTACCTAACTAATCCTAATCCAGCACCATTTTTGGTGTCTTAGGGTATCCTGCCTGGCTTAAGAGGTGCTGCTCAAGAAGGATGCAAGCTTTTCTGATGTGTTACTCTCTATTTCCCGGTCTGCTGCAGAGGTTTCAGATCTCTCACAACGGTACTAGAGGCCTGTGTTTAGGGAGCAGAATCTTCCCCATACTTCTAGCTCTACTTTATCACACACCTTATTCCTGAACATTCTTTAGCAGTACGTGCATTATTTTGTGGCTATGGATTAGACTACAGCACTTCTACCTACTTTTTACCTAACCTGATGAAAACAGCAAAAGAGTAAAAGCTTGAATTATAGGTAAATATTTTCATTCTAGCAGGTTGCATTACTTCTTTAATGTCTTTAAATATTTGAACTTTGCCAAGATGTTCACTTGCGAAGGACATGACACCAAAAGAAAGAATGGAAAAACAGAAGTATTACTGTGACTGCACTATAGGATGCCTAGATGTCTTGTGTTCAGTGCATCATCTGTCTAACAGCAAAATCACAACAAACCAGACTTTCTTTTTTAAGGCTTATTTACGCTTCACTACTTGACTCGGGCAAAAATATGCCAGACAGTTTCTGGTCTAAAATTAAACTGTTATGCTGAAAAGTATATCTAGTAGACTTTTTCAGGCTCTGACTTGTTTACACATTTCAGATAGTTTGTACTAAAAGAAAAGGCTTCTGTTTTCACAAACCTGGGTGCGGAATTCTGACGGAACAGACGGTCCTATGGCACATCTGCTATTCCCGGTGTCCTGTGAAGGTTTCCTGAAGCCAGGTGGTAATGCAGGACCTATAATGGGCCTTGAGGGAAAAAAAAAAAAAAATAAAATCTTGGGTTTAGTTGGGCGAGGGGAGAAGGAATTAACATAACCAGCATGGACAGTACATTAAATGACAGTCTTTCACTGTTTGCCTCAGGAAAAAATTGTAATAGATTAATATAAAAATAAAAATTCAATGTTGTTGAGAAGTGTGATTCTCCTTCCTCCCCATGCCAGGTGTGCCCCCTATGCACATGCCACAGAAATAACTGAATAAGAAGAGTCTCTGTTTTCCAGGAGGAGCTCTGCATGATAGCCGGGCTGCAAGAAAACTGGGAAAGTTGCAGCCTGTAGTCAAGGAAATCCACTTTTTTCTTCCCTACCTCCCATCACCAGACTCAAGAGCAATGAAAGACAGGAGGTCATATATACTCTACTCTTCCTCTAGCATGCGGTAGACACACTCAGCCTGCCCCTTGACCAAACCAGCAGCAGTTTGGCACGAGCTCC